AATCACAAATTACCAGACACTTCTCCCGGTCGGCAATTGGCTGAAACCCCCCGTCCCGTGCGATCTCCGCGTACTTGTTAGGGTCACTGAGTAGGTTCACAGTCCTACGTGCGATCTCCGCGTACTTGTTAGGATCCCGTGCGATCTCCGCGTACTAATTTGACTTCAATTATTCTAATTCGAGTTGAATTATACTAATTTGACTTCAATTGTACGAATTTGACTTTCATTGTACGAATTTGACTTCAATTGTACTAATTTGACTTCAATTATTCTAATTCGAGTTGAATTGTACTAATTTGACTTCAATTGTACGAATTTGACTTTAATTGTACGAATTTGACTTCAATTGTACTAATTTGACTTTAATTGTACGAATTTGACTTCAATTGTACTAATTTGACTTCAATTGTACGAATTTGACTTCAATTGTACTAATTTGACTTCAGTGATACGAATTTGACTTTAATTGTACTAATTGAATCAGTTGCTTTGCAGTTGGACAGTTACTTGCGCAACGTGAAAATTCCGGCTACCAATTTCATACTCAAGTCTTCACGAATTTGATTTCAATTGTACGAATTTGACTTCAACCGTACGAATTTGACTTCAATTATACGAATTTGACTTCAATTGTACTAATTTGACTTCAATTGTACGAATTTGACTTCAATTGTACGAATTTGACTTCAATTGTACTAATTTGACTTCAGTTATACGAATTTGACTTTAATTGTACTAATTGAATCAGTTGCTTTGCAGTTGGACAGTTACTTGAGCAACGTGAAAATTCCGGCTACCAATTTCATACTCAAGGCTTCACGAATTTGATTTCAATTGTACGAATTTGACTTCAACTGTACAAATTTGACTTCAATTATACTAATTTGACTTCAATTGTACGAAATTAACTCCAATTGTACGAATTTGACTTTAATTGTACGAATTTGACTTCAATTGTACTAATTTGATTTCAATTGTACAAATTTGACTTCAATTGTACTAATTTGACTTCAATTGTACTAATTCGACTTCAATTGTACTAGTTCGACTTCAATCGAGTCGTGTGAAATCGAGTCGTGTGACGCTTCACACGACTCGTGTCACATGCCACACGAGTCGTGTGACTTTCTTCGACTTTTCGCCAAACTCCCAAAGTCACACGACCACTCACACGAGTCGTGTGGGGTCACACGACCCGTGTCATTGGACACACGACTCGTGTGAAAAAGCCGCAGAAAAATTCTCAATTCTCTATATC